TGTCGTATGGATCATTCGTCCATCTGATTTTTTTTTTGGAGTAGTACCCCACTTTATGGGTATGCCTCCATTGGTTCAAGGAAATTTGAGTTGTATCCAGTTTTAGGTTAGAACATTACATACTTTTCTGTGGAAATACCTTCTTTCTCTTGAGTAAACTGAAAGTAGCACTGCTGAGTGTATACGAATGTATTTTATCTTGTAAAGAAGTCCTTTATATAAACTTCTAGAAAATACAAACTAATATAGTGACAGAAAGGAGAGCTGTGATTATCTGTGAAGCCAGAGGAACCAGGGAGTAGGTTTACCAAGGGGCAAAAAGAATCTTTTGAGGGTGATAAAATTATGTGCACCATCTTAATTGTAGTGATCGTTTCACAAGTATATATACAGCAAAACTTATCAAGCTGTAGTATTTAAATATGTACAGGTTATTATATGTGACTAAACCTTAACCTCAATAAGGCTGTTACAAAACTAAAATGATTCAGTGAAACTTCTCCAGATCTCTGAAGTAGCTCATACCAGTTTGCAATAGCAGATAGACCAAGAAGACCATCATCAAGCATCCATCAGAGAACACAGAACTAAAAAGATTTTATGTACTTTTCAAAGCGAAATAAGCTTAATTAAATTTCCTTCATCTCTCAACTTCATTCCATGTTCTTCTACTGGAATTTGTGTGAGTGATCTGCTCCTGGCCTACAGCACGTACCGGGAAGCCTACTTTCACATCTGCTATATAACCTGTTACCTAAACAACGTCAGCTCCTACGCCTGCAGCTACGAATTAATTTAACTAGAGACAGTTAAAGAGCAACTGGTAGAGTATTCCTCTCCATTTTTTGATGACTCAGTATCTAGTATAGCCTGTAGCTTATAGCAGACCCTTCAAATAAACAGATTAAAGTAAAAGCCACACACTTAGAAGGTAGAAAAGGTCAGTAGTGGTTAATGTATAACATTAACAATAAAAAAATTAAATTCAGATGTCAAAAATTCTTAATTGGGGTGTAGTACATAACTATTCATTAAGAACTTAATCTGTTTTCCTTTCCGTTAAGAATTTGCAATTCCCAAGAATGGACAGAGAGGACAATGACAATTTCCAAAACTGCCCGCTCCGTTCTGTAAAGTGCACTGCTTCTGTAACACATTTACATTAATATTTTACTTGTATCAATTAATAAAATTGGGCTTCTAGAAACTCACTGAAATTCTCTCAATGGTGCTAAATGATTTAGGAAATGTGCAACTTTCCATATAGAGATTTATTTTAATAGTTTCTTTTCATAAGGTGAAAACACAGTCATCATAGTTGATCAGGGAAATTTTGAGATGCCTCAAAATAGCACTAATGCTAGCTTGAAATTTCCATTATTCTGAATTTAGGATCTTATTTAACAAAGTCAAAATCAAAAGAATCTGCAGAAGTAATTTAGCCATTTGATACCAGTAAGAAACACTTAGACTAAGGAATACTGAGGCAAGCTAACCAATTAGTAAAAGATAAATTCCAACATTAAAGATAAGACTGTGCAAGGCACACCTGTAAGAAAACTAAGTTCTTTCAGAAGAGAGAAACTGCGTACTTATCTTAATACAGTAACATAAATAATCAGAGTAAAACACAGAAGCTATACTGTTGAGACACAAACTACTGTTTACCTGGGCAGATCAAATGACAGTTACTTTCTTTTCTTTATAGAGGACTGAGGTACTTCAAGACAATTTGCTATTCTGACAGCAAGTACATCAAATTCTAAGCTTTTATTACTATAGCAGATAGAGTAATTACTGCTTTTTTCTAGTTATATACCCAACAAACTTAAGCAAACTTTTCTGAAATTTTAGTACATTTTAAGTCTTTTTTTGAGGATCATTATCTGTAAATATAAACAAGGAAATGAAACACACCTTTTGCAAACTTCCAGTAACTGTTTTGTCCTGTCATCTTTCTCATTCTAACACACTTTTTTCCCTCATAAGCAATTGTAAGGAATGCAACTGTATTGTCATAATTGCAATTTTTGTTCCTAACGTAGTTCCAAATACATAGAAACACAACATTTTAGTGCAGCTATCAAAACCTCTTTGAGAGAAAAACGGGGCCCTCCCTGGTGGCGCAAGGGCTTAAGTCTGGGCACCAGGAAGCTACCACAGCCCTGTGCTACTGAAGCACCTTCGATCTTTGGCCAGGGAGTTACCCCTACAGCATGGCAGACCTCTCCTGACCCGCCCGCTGCTCCCCTCAGCAGTGTACTTCGTCGATCTGCCTGTTCTGCTCCCCACTCTGTCTCTGGTGAAGCCTCTCACACCCCCCCACCTCTGGCCTGTACCCCAGTTCTTATATGCATAAATAAATCTTAAAAGCAAGAGAAAACTGGAGTTAGGTAATTGAGAGGTGATAGTTATTGAGTATTTTAGCAGACCCACTAATATTTATCTATGTATTTCTAGGCCTGTATCTATACAATCAAAGCATCTTTGTTAAAATGGCAAAAAAAAAAAAAGGTTTAACATGTACATGTACACATAATCCTCAACTGCTTTTTATAGTATTGATGATGTATACTGTAAAGAAAGTTTAAACTACCTGTAAAAAACAAATGTTTTTAAAACAAAATATTGTATGTTGCTTATTATATGTATCGTGTAATTAGGGAAATGAGGTACATAACTTATAAAATCCTAGGTATCCAGGAATTTTCCTTGATTACATGAACATGTTTCTGAAGGAAAAATAGTTTCAACCTCTTTCTAAGCAAATGGTTTTTGTTTAGTCAAAAAATAGCACATTCAAGGGCCCTCCCTGGTGGCGCAGCGGGTTAAAGCACTGCACTAAGAAGCTTAAGCCACTTCTGCATGAGTTCGATCCCTGCCTGCCCCGGAGAAGATCCACATGGCGAGGCATGTGGATTTAAAAAAAATAGCTTTAAAAAAAATAGCATTCAATATATCAGCTTATATATATAAAATTTACCTCAAATCTGTCAGTATTAAATGTATACACATGCTTATAAGTGTTCTTTAACAAGTCAACAGAACTTTTCAAATAATATTTATAATCTTTGTAAATAGACTAAGAAGTAGGCTATTTTGTACTTATGAGACTTATCAATACCAAAAATAAAGATAAAAAAGTTAATAATTTTCCAGTAATGGGCCAGAGTAACTGTAACACATAAAAACATGAGATTCCTTATTTTAAACAAAGGCTCCCTTTTTTTTAAGATTTATTTATTTATTCATACAGAACTGGGGTACAGGCCAGAGATGCGGAGGGGGAGAGGATTCACCAGAGACAGAGCGGGGAGCAGAACAGGCTGACTGACAAAAAACACTGCTGAGGGGAGCAGCGGGCGGGTCAGGAGAAGTCTGCCACGCCACGTGGTCACCTTCGGGGCAGGCGGGGATCGAACTCATGCGGAAGTGGCTTTAGCTTCCCAGTGTTGTGCCTTAACCCGCTGCGCCACCAGGGAGGGCCCACAAAGGCTCCCTTTTTGATGAAAGGGAAATATATTCTTGCACAAATGAACAACAAAATCACCTGACATGTAAAATTCTATACTTTTCCCTCTCATTCAAGTGTAGATCCCTATCTCTACCTGTGAGAGATTACCAAATAGACAATAACATCAAATAGACAAATTTATTGCCACCACTGAGAAGTTAATTTCGTTTACGTGCATTAAGTTTATTGGCATAAAGTCGAGAACATCCGCTTCAGCTTTTGGTTGTTGTGCTGGATATAGTGATTTTATACTTTATGAAATGTTGTCTAGCAGCCTGTCTACCCTCCCGTGCTCTACACGTCCACCGGTGGCCGCAGGTCAACCATCACTGCCTAGCCATGATTGTCTATTACCAAAAAACCTGCCTAACATCTGCTTTGTATCGCTGTCTGAAGAATCTATACTGACGGAAACTAACAATGTAATCCCTCTGATCAAACCAGTAAGTGCCACTTAACACATTAGGCTTCAGATAACAGGATAATTGAATGCACCTTGCTTCGCAATAACATAGCTGTTAGTAGTGTGCCTCTTTCTGGTGGGCACAAACTTGCTCCCGAAATGCAAGGTGACCTAAATGCACGCACACACTGAGAAGCAAACAAATGTACTCCCCCTAAATTTCCACCTACCCATCCAGATCTGCTATTCATCCTATATCCTGCTCCATGCCCAGAAAGGTGAACTTGAACCTCATCCACAGGCCTCTTGTCTCCTGCCTTTCAGCTGCATGTACTTCAGAATCAGGGATGTTCAAGATGGTGGAGCAGAAAGACGCCGAACTTGCTTCCTGCCACAAACATGAGACTACAACTGCATAGAGGGACAGTTCAGGAGGGACAACACAAGTACGGAACTTCTTGAAGGCTGAGGAGTTTATGCCACACAGCAGGCACCTCAAACCTAGGGGCGGCAGCAGAGGCAAGCCCCAAATGAGCTCAGCTTTGAAAAGCAGCAAGGGCCATCAGGTATGGAGATAAGATGCATAGGAACCAGCAGAAAAGCAGCAGTTTGAAAATAGCCCAACTGATTATTTGCAGGCAATCATTTACTGACCTTATCAAACCGCAGCGTCAGGAGCCTCAGGGGGTTTTCAGCCCGGGAAAGTGCCGGCAGGAATGGCTTCCATCCACCTCATCACGCTGGCGTTGCCACAGGCGCCAAGTGGTTCTTCTCTGAGTTAAATAGCCAGGAGAGTGAGAGCCCCGCCCACGCCCACAGCACCTGGGGCTGCAGGACCAGAGACCCTTGCGCCCACCATGCCTACAACTTGCACGCCATGACTGCCCCACGCACACTACGCCCCACTCATACATGCCATGCCCACCACGCCGAACACACATACCACGCACACCGCATCCAGCATACACATCGCATCCAACACGCACACCACGTCCAGCACGCACATTAAGCCCCACTCACGTGCACCACACAACACACGCACACCACGCCCCACCTATACATGCCACGCCCACCACGCCGAATATGCATAACACGCACACCGCGTCCAGCACGCACGCACATCACGTCCAACACGCACAGCATGTCCAGCACGCACATTATGCCCCACCCACGCACACCACACAACATACGCACACCACGCCCACCACGCTCACCACGCCCACCACGCTCACCACGCACACCACGTCCAACACGTACACCACGTCCACCACGCACACCACGTCCACACGCACACCACGTCCACCACGCACACCACGTCCAGCACGTACACTACGCCCCACCCACGCCCACCATACACACCATGCACAATGTACACCATGCCCCAGCCATGCAGGCCATCCCACCATGCACATCACGCCCATCACGCATAACACGCACAGTACGTCTCACACGCACACCACGTCTAGTACGCACACTACGCCCCACCCACACATAACACGCAACACACGCACACCACGCAACCCACGCACATCACGTCCACCACGCACATTACGTCCAACACGCACACCACGTCCAGCACGTACACCACGTCCACCACGCACACCACGTCCACACGCACAACACGTCCACCACGCACACCAGGTCCAGCACGTACACCACGCCCACTACGTACGCCCACTACGCCCCACCCATGCACACCACGCAACCCACGCACACCACGCCCACCACGCACATCACGTCCAACACTCACACCATGTCCAGCACGTACACTACGCCCCACACATGCACACCACACAACCCACACATACCACACAACCCACGTACACCACGCCCACCACACGCACCAGCTTCTACATGCACACCACGTCCAGCACGCACACTACGCCCCACCCACACATACCACGTACACCATGCCCCACCCATGCATGCCACGCCCAGCACATCCACCATGTCCATCACACACACCATGCTCATCATGCACACCATGCCCACCACACCCATTATATCCACCAAGCCCCAACCATGCCCACTGTGCCCTCCACGCCCACCATGCACACCCTGCCCACCCAAACCCACCACGCCCACCATGCCTACCATGCACATCATGCACACCACGCCTACCCATGCACCCCAAGCACACTCCACCTACCACGCCTGACCCACGTATACCATGCCCTGAAAGTTTTTAAAATTATTTTCAAAATGGGTCCTGTTGTATTATTTGATTTTTGATATTGATATAAAATCAATTCAATATTTACATTCTAAAAGAATTTATAAATCTTTGCCAGTTGCTAGGAAGAATTAAAAAGACAAAAGAGGCCCTCCCTGGTGGCGCAGCGGGTTAAAGCACAGCACTAAGAAGCTAAAGCCACTTCTGCATGAGTTCCATCCCCGCCTGCCCCAGAGGTGACCACATGGCACAGCAGACCTCTCCTGACTGCCTGCTGCTCCCCTCAGCAGTGTACTTCGTCAGTCGGCCTGTTCTGCTCCCCGCTCTGTCTCTGGTGAAGCCTCTCACCCTCCGCATCTCTGGCTTGTACCCCAGTTCTGTATGAATAAATAAATAAATCTTAAAAAAAAAAGACAAAAGAAATGTTGAATGTTTCACTTTACAAAATACAGGATTGTGATTCATCCATATTTCCGCATTTCAGAGAACTTGCCAAGACTTGTCCCACTGCATGGTCATGATAACTGAAGACAACACTAGTGCACTGAACCATCAGAAATTACAAGCTGTAAACTGTGACCAAAGGTCATTATAAAATTAGAAGGTAATATTATATTTGATCTAAGACCTTATAAAAATAGAAATAAATATGATGGCCCTAAGCACTTGAAAAAAATGTTAAATGCTGTGCTAAAATTGTTCTCAGCATGCTAAGGAAGATAACGTTATGGAATGTTTATATTCCTGTAATGATTGACAAAAGGGACTGTTCATACTATCTGCTTGGAGCTGTCTCAAGGCAGATGAAACTCTGCACACACCCGGTGTTTAGATGGCTTTACAGTTTACTCTTGTGTTACAGTTCCTCTCCCTGTGGTTAACTGTATCAAATTAAAGCAAAGATTTCCAAGAGAATAAATTTATAATCTTTGAAATTGAGGAGATGTAGGTCAAGGTACAAATTTTCAGTTATAAGAAAAACAAATTCTAAGGATCTAATGTACCGCATGTTCCCTATAGTGAATAATACAGTATTGTGTACTTAAAAGTTGCTGGGAGAAAAAAATTAAGCATTCTCAGGGTAAAATAAATGTTAACTTTGTGAGGTGGTAAATGCAGTAATTCTCTTTACCTTGGTAATCATTTCATAGTGTATACATATATTAAATCAGTGCATATGAATACTAAATCTTCTCATTTCAGATCTATTAAATTTGCCATTATTTCTCAATAAAGTTGGGAAAGAATGGGATGTTATCAGAGAGTATGGAAAATAAGTTCTTTTGGAGGAAGAGAAGTATACATTCAGTCTTTGCAGCTCCTTAAATGAAATATGGTCCTGGATAGATGTGGAATCCTGACACGCAATCTCTTCTATGATATCCCACCTCAACACCACGCTTTATATTTGGGTGTTTCAAATGTATTGAACATATTACAAAGGAGTTTCAATCAGAATTGAAAACTAGTGTCTCCCATTCAATAAAACTGGGCTGGAGTGATGAAACATGATTCAGAAATCTGATCGCATCCTCTTTAATATACCCTCTGTTCTGTGTTACTAAAGTCATAAAGGATCCTCAGTTTCTCATCTTACTATATTAACATACTAAAAATGAAATCCCAAAATACCACTGCAAGAGAGTAATTTAATTATATTCCATGTCTTCCCATCATCGAGATAAGTCTTAGTTTCCCCCAAAAGGTTTAAAAAGAAACTGAATCACTATTTTAAAAATATCTAATACCCTCTGTTGATTCTATCACTTATCTCAGAGACCATCTTCCCTCCTAAAGGATTAATTGGGAATTATATATTCTCTTTGGAATTCCATTAATGTCCTATTTCTTTTTCTAGGACACATGCCATCCACTATATTATTAAGAAGTTACATTTTAAAAAATAATCACTATTTTTGCTGTGGGATTAAAAGTTATTTGAGAATAGACTTTCTTTCTTACTCATCTGTGTACCCTAATCACAGACATCGACACTGTTACAAAATGTTGAATTGAACTGAACTTTCATTTTCCTCCTCAACCTCTTAATATATTTAGCATTTTACAGTAGTTTGGCTAGTATGTCAGCTTAAAGAATGCTACGGTTTGTTTGATTTTTTGGTATTACCTGTACTTTGTGTAATTCTTTGATTGACTCAATAAAAATTGTACACAGAGCTAAGAATTACTTCTCATCTGTAATAGCTTCAGACATTGAATTCCTAGTTAAAATTCTGTAAAAGCATCTAAGATTGTCAAGGAAAAGACATTAGTTTTGATTATATATAAAATTGCCTCACTTGTTTCTAAAAATAATCATGACATAAATTGTTAAAAATTCATGGGGGAAAACCTGAATTCCATTTTCTTGATTTATTTGTTATGTTTTCATAACTTTTTGTTTTTTAAATATATGACCAGAAAGTAGCTGTAAAGTTGAATGTACAATAATAGCTCATATAGACAAGTCACTGTAACCATCAATATTCCAAAATAAGCTGTTAACCATATTAGTGTTTTGAATTAATTGTTCCTCAGTCTGAGTTACAACTATATTTTTAGTAGTGACTAACCAGGGATCAACTCATACTACAGATTGTGTATTTACAGCCCGAAATCAGTATTATTTCTTCCCAAGACTTATATAAAATAAAGGTAGGAAAATATCCTTAAATGGAATTGTCTAAAACATAAAATGCATTTCAAGATAATTAAGAATGTTAACTGTAATATATACCAATACAGTTTATTCCAAATTTATTTATTAAACCATTTATTCACTCAAGAACTAGTTATTCAATCATTATCTTGTGCCATAAACAACTTAGTTGTAGTCCTGGCATTAACAGACTCTGTAGGCCAGCAGAGAAAGTGGATAGCAAACAAATAACAAATACAATAAATATTAGCAAAGGAGGGTTTTGTTCATTAATTATAGATACAAATGGGCATAGGTTGCCTTTCTATTTTATTAAGCATTGGTTGAAGATATTTATGCATTTTCTACAGCCTCTAGTACAATGTCTTACAGATGATATGTTAACTGAACAAATAAATCAATATATAAGCATAATATTCATGTCAAATGCCTAAAGGTTAAAATATAACAAATACTAAGCAGAAGGAATTTACATGACAGCTAGAATGCATATTCTCAAGTGTTATTAGAAACAGAGTAAGAAAAAAAATAGATTTTCATGTACAGACTGCAGGACTCAGAAGGCTTTTCAAAGAGTTGCAGTCATTAAATATTATAATTTATTTCCAAATGAAGTTGTCAAATCCTTTTCACATGTCTTTGAAAATAAGATAGGAGTTTCATCTGTTCAGGATGCTTTAATTGTCTCTACATTATGTGAAAACATCTGCTAGTTTCAGTCAATAGTAAAAACTCTCTACTGTCAATTCAGAGAATAAAATCAGCTCAATCATTTTTCTGGCAGCATGTAACTCAAACAAACCTGTTGACTGGCATTTTTATTTTTCTTCAAATTCTGTTATCTTAATGGAAGCTCCAAATTCATGTAGTTCTAAGTGGGCTAGATTAAGTAAGTAATTTCTAAATGCTTTTCAGATATATACACATTAAATTGGTTTGCCCATAATACATGAGTATAAAACGTTACTTTTTATATAATTTGAATGACTATACCTTAAGTATACTTGAAAATATTTAAAAGGAGAAAATCATAATGTCCATATTTAAAATGCTACTGATTAAATTGTACTAAATATTCAAAGATGAGTATATTTATATGCTTCTCTTCTGTACTTACCATACATAGTGACATGCAGGGAAAAGCTTTGAGAGGTAATATCAGTTACACTAGAAGTGAGGGTCGTGGGAAGGCAATTGCTTTTTTGAAAGTTCTGGAGAAAAGAGCTTGATTGTTGCTCATTGAACACCTATTAGATAAATTATTTGATTAGTTGCTTTATATAGTAAAGTACTGATAAAGGTATATATAACTGATATACCTAGCATCTTAATTCAAAGAGCCTAAAACAATATTTTAACCCTAAATTTTTGACTTAGGGTTTTTCCAATGAGCAGAGGAAATCGAACTGCAGGGGCACAAGGGGGAAAAATTGCTACTTGGATCATGCTTTATTTGAGATTTTATCATATATTTTCTTAAAATATGGTTATTTCTACTGAACAAAATTAATGGCTTCCTTTTTATATGCCTTTCTATGTGTATAAATAACCAATATTTTGATTTCCACAAAACTTATTTTATAATTTAATGTAATACTAATATATCTTTAGAAAAAGTTGTCTCATGAATACATTCAGCTAAGTACTTTATATTTCTTTATAAAAACTATAGAAAAATAATATATGTAAAATATATAAAATAAAATATAAGAGTTTTTTCTTTTTTATCACATTTTCCTGATTTGCCATTTGTTGAGTAGCTATTTTGCAACAATAAAACTTCACACCCCAACATGTACATACTCTCCATTCACCTTCCACCAAGGCCAGAGAGCCGCACCCCACCCCCATCACCCTCCCCTACCTGTGGTAACCGCTATAATTTTCCACAGAATAATAGATCATTTTTTAATTTTTTTAAATATCTATTTACTTATGTGTACAGACCTGGGGTACAGGCTAGAGGTGCAGAGTCTGTGAGAGGATTCACCAGAGACAGAGTGGGGCGCAGACCAGGCAGATTGACAAAGCACACTGCTGAGGGGAGCAGTGGGGAGGGAGGAGAGGTCTGTCAGGCCATGTGCGTCACCTCTGGGGCAGGGATTGAACTCATGCTGAAGTCACATTAGCTTCTTAGCGCTGTGCTTTAACCTACTGCACAACCAGGGAGGGCCCAATTATTTTTTTATTTTATTCCAGGTGGTCCTGTGTCCGTAACCACATGAAGGTTGTGTTTCAGACAAAGGTAGCCTAGGATGCATTTTATGGTTCTGTACTGGTGGATGTTTTAACTGGTTTTTGAGAATTGATTAAGTTTTCAGGAATCTTACAAACCATTTGACATCATATTAGCAGCTTGAAAAGTTGGCTATGGTAGAAGTAGTTATACCACAAACATTG